CACCATGTTGGCCAGGCTGGTCTTGAACTCCTGACCTCAGGTGATCTGCCCACCTTGGCCTCCCAAAGTGCTGGGATTACAAGCGTGAGCCACCACACCTGGCCCCTGAGACCTTATTTTTAAAACAGCCCTCCTCGGCTTCCTCTCTTTTGTGGGGGGAAAGGCATTCCCTGCAGAGGGAACCGCACAAGCGTGACTGTCACCCGCAGCAGGGCAGAGGTGTGAGCAGAGAGCAGGGGCTGGCCAGTAGGAGGAGCCTGGGAAGGTAGGTCAAAGCCAATCATGGGAAGCTGGAAGTGGAAGGACAGAGTTCAGGGAAGGATGGGTGCAGGTGTGCCTGCCCCTCTTGGGTATACCATGTGCTGTTTGTGGTGTATGTGTCTTACCCAGGGGTGGGTTCTAAAGTTAACATGCTAGCTACTTAGGAGGCTGGGGCAGGAGGATTGCTTGAGGCCAGGAAGTCAGGACCAGCTTGGGCAACATAGTGAGACCCCATCTCTACAAAAAATTCGAAGTTAGCTGGGTGTGGTAGGGTGTACCTGTGATCCTGGCTGCTTGGGAGGCTAAGGTAGGAGGATCGCTTGAGCCTGGGAGGTCAATGCTGCAGTAAGCCATGATCATGCTGCTGTACTCCAGCCTGGATGACAGAATGAGACCCTGTCTCTAAAAATAAATAAATAAATAAATACAAGTAGTAAAAAAGTTAACGTGAGCTGTTTTATAGTCAAAATTTCCCTTACAAGTCCCTTAAAGTGCCCTTGAGGGTACATGGTTTTGTGCATATTCACCCATACAGTAAATTGTATGTGTAAATGTTTAATGTACGGAGTAATGTACATTATAGAAAAGATTGTAAACATGTTATAACCTGTACATAACACAATTTTATAGTACAACACTTTTAATTCACTGTGAAATGGGTACAGACAGGTGACCTCGTGTGGGTCCCATGCTGTGCCTGTGTCCTCAGAGCTGGGCATCGGGAGGCTCCCCCACTGGCAGGTATGGGAGTTGCTGCCGAGCCAGGTCAGGACAGGCTGGTGGCGGAGATGTGGCTTGGACGGGAAATACAGAGTGAACCTCCGTGGCAAATCCAGCATTTCCACCGAGGAACGATTTGGTTCTCAGTGAGGGTCTGTCTAGAAGCCACCTTTGCTTGTACTTAGTGGATAGTTTATTTGGGGTCGTTTGGCAGACGGATGGAGACCACTGTGGAGTCGAGGAGGTAAATCCTCTCCCAGCTATTTCTGGCACCAAGTGCGGCCGACCTGCACACACCTGTACGTGGAAAGGAATGTGGAAGGGATCCCCTCCGCCTCTCTCCACGGGCATCCCCTCCGCCTCTCTCCACGGGCATCCTTTTTCTGAGTGAGAAGGGAGGGTTGCTGTTGCCTGTCTCTGGCAGGAGTTGTGGGATCCCTAGAAATCGTCTTGCTCCTGTACTAAGCTTCTTTTTTGAGACAGAGTTTCATTCTGTTGCCCAGTCTGGAGTGCATTGGCATGATCTCGGCTCACTGCAACATCCGCTTCTCAGGTTCAAGTGATTCTCGTGCCTCAGTCTCCTGAGTAGCTGGGACTACTGGCGCATAACACCACACCTGGCTAATTTTTGTATTTTTTGGTAGAGATGGGGGTTTCACCACGTTGGCCTGGCTGGTCTCAAACTGCTGACCTCAAGCGACCCACCTGCCTCAGCCTCCCAAAGTGCAGGGATTACAGGTGTGAGGCACCGTGCCTGGCCTAAGCTGTTTTCTCTTCATTTTTGCTAGGCTGTTAGAGAAACGGCAGCATCCAGGACAGTGCTGTTTGGGACCTCTGCTCTGATTCCTGAAATCTTCACCTACTTTTTTAAAAGGTAAGAGGCATGGTCCTATCCCCAGGTAGGGATCTGAAAGTCAAATCCTTATAAAAACCTGTCAGATACTGACCGTGGTAGAGGGTGGAAGGAGTAACCTTCCCGTAAACACGCATCACAGCGAAGACAGTCAGATTGTGGCAGGCATGGAAATCCAGGTGTGTGGATTCCACCGAATGGGGAATCCAGCCCAGGCTCTGCCTCCAGTTACCCCGCGTCCCTGACGTGTCCAAGGACCTTCCACGGCCATTTCTTCACCTCTAGAATGAGGGGCTTGGATGACGTGCACGTTCCCCTGGCTCTGATGTGCTGTGAATATTGCTCAAGCCCGCCCCTCTGCACCCCCATTCCAAGCATGTTTTAAATTAGCTTCAGCGACTCCGGATTCAGATTCATCCCTTTGAAGAAGCCAGAAATGGTCTATGAGGTGGAGGACCTGGGCATCCATCAGGGTTCTTGTGGCCCCCAGTATGAGAAGCCTAACCTGCAAGAGCTCAGGCCCGAGGGGAGATGTGGGGCTTTAGGGCCGGAACGGGCAAGGATTGCAGACCATGGCAGCTTGAACAGAAGCTCCCTTGCTGGGCGCACCTCCCTGTCACCCTCGTGGGTGTTGGTTCCTTCTCTCCTGCCAGATTGGCTTCTTCATATTGATGCGGGACCCGTTTGCTAGTAACTCCCAGCTCATGGCCTCACAGCCTCCTGATCAGAGGTGGAATACAGCAAACCCCAGGGGAGGCAGGAGTGTCTTCCCCTCAGGGCAGACTCCTGGGGAAGGATTCTGTAGGCCTGAGTTGGGTTGTGTGCCTGAGCTGCAGTGTGGCGAGTCTGGGATTCGCCTGCTAGGACCACACACAGAGCACATTTCCAAGGAGGGATGGGATGGCGCGGTGGCTCACGCCTGCAATCCCAGCACTTTGGGAGGCTGAGGTGGGTAGATCACCTGAGGTCAGGAGGAGTTTGAGACCAGCCTAGGCAACATGGTGAAACCCTGCCTCTACTGAAAATACAAAAATTAGCCAGGCGTGGTGGCGGGCGCCTATAATCCCAGCTACCCAGGAGACTGATACAGGAGAATCGCTTGAACCCAGGAGGCAGAGGTTGCAGTGAACCAAGATCGCACCATTGTACTCCAGCCTGGGCGACAGAGGAAGACTCTCTCAAAAAAAAAAAAAAAAAGAGAAAACAGGCCTTGATCTAGCTGTTCAGGTACAATAAAAAGAAAAAAGAACAGGCCCTGATCCAGCTGTTCAGGTGCACTAAAAATAAAAATTAAAAAACAAAACAAAGCAAAAAAAAACCAGGCCCTGATTCAGCTGTTCAGAAAATAAACAAGCCCTGATAGTTTCACATCACTGGTGAGCCATGCCTTGTCTCTTACAGGACCCAGTTTTTCCTGAAAAACCCAGGGTCATTGTGGATCCTGAAACTGTCTTGTACTTTCCTGACAATGGGACTGATGGTGCCAGTTTCTTTTAGTATATTTCCACAGATTGGACAGGTAAGTGCCCCCATTCCACTTTCCTCTCAAAGTTTTTTATTTTGCGGTTATAAGAGTAAAGTAAATAAGTTATTCTTACAAATCTGCAAAGTGTATAAAAATATAAAACAAGACCAGGTGCAGTGGCTCACACTTGTAATCCCAGCACTTTGGGAGGCCAAGGTGGGAAGATTGCTTGAGCCCAGGAGTTCAAGACCTGCCTAGGCAACATAGTAAGACCCTATCTTTACAAAAAATAATACACAAATTAGCTGGGTGTGGTGATGTACACCTGTTGTCTCAGCTGTTTAGGAGGCTGAGGTGGGAGGATCACCTGGGCCCAGGGTTGAGGCTGCAGTGAGCCGTGATTGCACCACTGTACTCCAGCCTGGGTGAGAGTGAGACCCTATTTCAAAAAAATAAAATAATAAAACAAAATACAGTTGACTTTTGAACAACTTGGGGGTTAGTAGTCAAAAATCCAAGTACAACCTTTGACTCCCCGAAAACTTAACTATTAATAGCTTACTGTTGACCGGAAGGTTTACCAAGAGCATAAAAAGTCAAGTAACACATATTTCATATTCTATATGTGTTATATAATGTATTCCTACAATAAACTAGAGAAAATAGAATGTTATTAAGAAAATCAGGTCGGGCGCGGTGGCTCACGCCTGTAATCCCAGCACTTTGGGAGGCCGAGGCGGGTGGATCATGAGGTCAGGAGATCGAGACCATCCTGGCTAACACGGTGAAACCCCTGTCTCAACTAAAAATACAAAAAAATTAGCCGAGCACGGTGGTGGGCACCTGTAGTCCCAGCTACTTGGGAGGCTGAGGCAGGAGAATGGCTTGAACCTGGGAGGCGGAGCTTGCAGTGAGCCAAGATCGCACCACTGCACTCCAGCCTGGGCGACCAGAGAGAGACTCCGTCTAAAAAAAAAAAAGAAAAGAAAAGAAAATCAGGCCAGGTGCGGTGGCTCATGCCTGTAATCTTAGCACTTTGGGACACTGAGGCGGGCAGATAACTTGAGATCAGGAGTTCAAGAGCAGCTTGGCCAACATGGTAAATAAAACTCCAGCTCTACTAAAAATACAAAAATTAGCCAGGTGTGGTGGTGCCTGTAATCCCAGCTACTCAGGAGGCTGAGGCAGAAGAATCGCTTGAACCTGGGGATGTGGAGGTTGCAATGAGCCAAGATCATGACATTGTACTCCAGCCTGGGCGACAGAGTGAGACTCTGTCTCAAAAAAAAAAAAAAAAAAAAAATCATAAGGAGGAAAAAATATATTTACTGTTTATTACATGAAGGTGAGTCATCAGTTTCAGTAAGGATCAAGGTCTTCATCCTCGTCATCTTCATGTCGAGCAGGCTGCGGAGGAGGAAGAGGGGTCGGTCTGGCTGTCTCACGGGTGACGTAGGGGGATGAAAATCAGTGTATAAGTGGACCTGTATCGTTCAAACCTGTATTATTCAAGGGTTAACTGTAATGATATTTATATTTAATTCTATCCCTCAATTCTCTTGGTGCAGTTTTGGGTTCTGTTTTTCTTAACACTATTTCATAAGCATTTTTTTCTGGGGCATAAAAAGAAATGTTTTAAAACTACTTAATTAAAGAAATTTTAAATAGTCCAAAATGTTCTCTAACTACGCCCTCTCCAATAGAACTTTCTGCAGTGATGGAAATGTTCTATAATAGATTGGTGCTGTCCAGTATGGTAGCCAAGAGCTACATGTGCTACTGAGCACTTCAGGAGAGGCTGGTGTGACTGGGGAATGGAATTGTAAATTAAGTTAAATTTTAAATTAGGTACTCTTGTGTGCTTAGTGGCTGTTGGACAGCCCAGTTCTGTAGATAATTTATAATATAATTTATTATGAGTCAGACTGCCTGGACTCACATTCCAGCTTCTCCACGACCTTGGTCAACTTGCTCCATTTTCTTATCTGTTAAAGAGAGCTGAAGATAATGGCATCTCTACCAAGGGTTGTTGCTTAGTAGGCAGCAAGGACATTTTTTTTTTTTTTAAGTCAGAAAGCCAGTTTTTTTAATTTCCAAAGCTCTGCCATAAATTTCTAGCAGATGTCAAGGACATTATTGATGCTAGCAGATATCAGCAATTTCTTGGCTAAATATTTTAAGTGCTTGTTTCTGTCACTATAAATATATATGTCCTCAAAAGCATTTATATTTATGGAATGATCTTGTTCAGAATCCACATTTTATAGGTTTAGGTTTTAGGATCATTCATTCAAGCAGCTTTGCCAGCACAACGTAGAAGTTTCAAATTATTTTAGATAGTTATGCTTATTACTATGCTATGGACGAGGGGTTGGGGAGTGAGGCAGCATCTCAGAATAAAATTTCAGGCCAGGCATGGTGGCTCATGTCTGTAATCCCAACACTTTGGGAGACCAAGCTGGGAAGATTGCTTGAGGCCACGAGTTCCAGACCAGCCTGGGGAATGCAGTGAGACCCCGTTTCTACATAAAATGTCATAAAAATTAGGTCAGGGGCTGTGGCTCATGCCTGTAATCCCAGCACTCTGGGAAGCCCGAGTGGGAGGATCACTTGAGCCCCGGAGTTCAAGACCAGCCAGGGCAACGTAGCAAGACCTCGTCTCTGCTGAAAATAAAAATTTGGCTGGGCACGGTGGGTCACACCTGTAATCCCAGCACTTTGGGAGGCCAAGGTGGGAGGATCACTTTAGCTCAGGGTTTGAAACCAGCCTGAACCTCATCTCTATTCTGAAAAAAATTAAAAAGAAAAAATAATAGTAATAATTAGCCAGGCATGGTGGTATGTGCCTGTAGTCCCAGCCACTCAGGCAGCTGAGGTAGGAAGATCACCTGATCTTTGGTCAAGGCTGCAATGGGGCCACAGAGTGAGACTCCGTCTCAAAAAAAAAAATAAAAAAAAATTAGTGGGGTGAAGTGGCACACAGCCACAGTCCCAGCTACTCAGAAGGCTGCGGTGAGAGGATCACTTGAGCCCAGGAAGGAGAGGAAGAGTTTATCCCCAGTGGAGGATGGGAAGGGCTGAATGGGCACGTGAGGCTGCAAGGAACAGGCAGGATGCTGGGGGCCAGGTGGCAGGGCCTGCACAGCCAGGCCGAGGAGGTGGGCGGCATGTGAGTCATTCAAGGTTGGAAGGGGCAGAACTCCCAGAGGCCAGAGTGGAGGCAGGAAAGGGAGTCAGTCACACACATGACCCCAGATGCCAAGACTTGCTTGCTGGACTTTGAAAATATCCTGCTGGGGTCGGGCGTGGTGGCTCATGCTTGTAATCCCAGCACTTTGGGAGGCCGAGGCGGGTGGATCACGAGGTCAGGACGTTGAGACTATCCTGGTTAACACGGTGAAACCCCGTCTCTATTAAAAATTCAAAATATTAGCCAGGTGTGGTGGCGGGCGCCTGTGGTCCCACCTACTTTGGAGGTTGAGACAGGAGAATGGCATGAACCCCAGAGGTGGAGCTTGCAGTGAGCTGAGATTGCGCCACTGCACTCCAGCCTGGGCGACGGAGTGAGACTCCATCTCAAAAAAAAAAAAAGAAAATATCCTGTTGGCTCAAGGCGGGCATGGAGGTGCTTAGATGAGATAAGGAGTTACTACTAATTTTGTTGCGTATGATAATGGCATAGTGACATGACATGAGAATTGCCTTAAAATACTCAAGGGAAAAAACCCTACTGCTGGGTGTGGGAGGTGCTTGATGAAATGAGATCTGCAAATTGTTAATAGTTATTCCTGAGTGAGCACATGTGAGTTCATTACATTCTTTCCACATTTGTTTTTTGTTTGTTTGTATGTTTGAGACAGGGTTTCTCTCTGTTGCCCAGGCGGGAGGGCAGTGGTATAATCATGGCTTACTGCAGCCTTGACTCCCAGGCTCAAGTGATCCTCTGGCCTCAGCCTCCCAAGTAGCTGGGACTATAGGAACGTACCACCACACCTGGCTCATTTTTATTTTTTGTAGAGACAGGGTCCCACTGTATTGCCCAGGCTGATTGCAAACTCCCCACCTCAAGCAATCCTCCTGATCTTGGCTCACTGTAACCTCCACCTCCCAGGTTCAAGCGATTCTCGTGCCTCAGCCACCGGAGTAGCTGGGATTACAGGCACCCACCACCACGCCCGGCTAATTTGTGTATTTTTTGTAGAAACGGGGTTTCACCATGTTAGCCAGGCTGGTCTCAAGTGATCTACCCGCCTCAGCCTCCCAAAGTGTTGGGATTACAGGCATGAGCCATTGTGCCCAGCCATCTTAAAACTTTTTAATGGAAAGTTTCAATTATAAACAAATATAGAGATAAGTAAATAACAATAATAGGCCAGAGGTGGTGGTACGCGCCTGTAATCCCAGCTACTCAGGTGGCTGAGCTATGAGAATCACTTGAACTTGGAGGGTAGAGGTTTCAGTGAGCTGAGATGGTGCCACTGTACTCCAGCCTGGGCAACAGAACAAGACTCTGTATCAAAAAAAAAAAGAAAAAAAAAAGTTTAAAAAGTTTCTTTACTACTTGGGTGATTGAAAAAAAAATAGGCTACATTTTCTGCTATAGATTAGACATTATTGAAAAAGATAGACTGTGAAATGGTGGCTTTCAGAAAATGATTTTTTTAACTTGGCTTCTAAGGCAAGAAAAACTATTAACAGAAATATTGTGAATTTAACTGTTTTTCAGATACAGTGCCGTAGTCATGAAGAGAAAATTCAGCCTTCAACAGAAGAAACAGAAATCTTTTATCACAGAGGGGTGTAGGCATGAGTTTCAGGTGAATTTATGTGCTTCCTGCTTGAAAACCTTCACCTCTCCAGGTTCGGTTTAGAGAACTCTGCCAGAGGTCTTCTGGGGACCCCAGAGGTGTCTGTGCTGACAAGGTGACCTAAAGTTCCACACTGAGATCACTCCCAGGCTGGCATGTCTGGGGTTTTTAAGGCTGGCTGGAGAAGACAGTGGGAGGGTGCCCCGTCTGACATCCCTGGGGTTGCTAAGGAGATGGTTGGAGTGGGGATCGGCCTGCGAAAGGATACTATGAAATCACTAATTACCCTAATAAACCTGTCTCAAGTTGAGTATTTGAAGAAAGAACACAAAGAGTCCACCGTGCCCAGGACACAGGCGTCCAATGGATAGGCCATTTCAAGTGGAACACGTACCCCTGGGGCGCTGTTTATGGCCTCCGACCCCAAAAGCAATCTTGTTTCCTTACTCAGCATCCTCCAATCTAGACGGCTGCTTAAAACCTTTGCTGCCCTCTGCCCAGTGCCTCCTTTCTCCTCTCTGGAGGCTGAGGCACGAGAATCACTTGAACCCTGGCGGCAGAGGTTGCAGTGAGTCGAGGTCGCGCCATTGCATTCCAGCCTGGGTGACAGAACTAGACTGTGTCTCAAAAAGAAATAAACTGCTTGTCACCTGCCTCATTAGAGACCGGATCTTGCTGTCACCCAGGCTGGAGTACAGTGGCACAACCATAGCTCACTGCAGCCTTGAACTCCTGGGCTCAAGCGACCCACCTGCCTCAGCCTCCTGAGTGGCTGGGACTACAGGCGCCTGCCACCACGCCCAGCTGTAGCCAGACCTTAAAAGAGTTCTCGCCCTCACAGTCTCTGCCCCACCTCCAATTCTACTAAGACTGCTCTCATCCGTGACCCACCTGAATGTGGCACTGCCACACTGCTGGGCACTCAGGCTGGTCACTGAGCTGCTTACTTGGCTGCACTTTGCCATATGGATGTCCCAGACACCTCAAACTCAACCCATCCAAACTTGAAAGCAGCTCTCCCTCCCAGTCTCAGGAATTGACACCACCACCTACCCAGGTGCACCAGACAGGATCACTGGAGACACCCTCTCCCCACCTTAACCCCAGCGTATTCAGTAGACGGGGCCCAGTACATGGAGTCTGGAACCCATGTATGCCCGCTGCTACCGCCCAGTGCAGTCCAACAGCGTCCCCTGCTGGCACTGCCTGGCCCATCTCCTGCCTACTCCCTCCGGTTCACGTTCCAGCCTGCTCTTCTAAATCACACCTGCTGAACAGTTTTTTTTGTTTTGAGACGGAGACTTGCTCTGTCACTCAGGCTGGAGTGTAGAGTGCAGTGGCACGATCTTGGCTCACTGCAACCTCCACCTCCTGGGTTTCACGCGCGTCCGTGTGAAAAGACCACCAAACAGGCTTTATGTGAGCAATAAAGCTTTTTAATCACCGGGGTGCAGGTGGGCCAAAGAGAGTCAGTGAAGGGAGATAGGGGTGGGGCCGTTTTATAAGATTTGGGTAGGTAGTGGAAAATTAGTCAAAGAGGGTTGTTCTCTGGCTGGCAGCGGTGGGGGTCACAAGGTGCTCAGTGGGGGTGCTTTTGAGCCAGGATGAGCCAGGAGAAGGAATTTCACAAGGTAATGTCATCAGTTAAGGCAGGAACAGGCCATTATCATTTGTTTTGTGATTCTTCAGTTACTTCAGGCCATCTGGATGAATACATGCAGACTTGGGCTCAGAGGCCTGACACTGGGTTCAAGTGATTCTTGTGCCTCAGCCTCCCGAGTAGCTGGGACTACAGGTGTGCACCAGCCACCACATTCAGCTAATTTTTGTACTTTTAGTAGAGACGGGGTTTCACCACGTTCGCCAGGCTATTCTCAAACTCTTGATCTCAGGTGATCCGCCTACCTCGGCCTCCCAAAGTGCTGGGATTACAGGCATGAGCCACTGTGCCCTTGGCCATCTTGAACTTTCAGACAGGTCTTTTAATAATTCCCTAGTGCCCTCACAGTTTTTTTTCTCCGTTTTCTTTGGAATGAGCAGAATTAGAGAAAGAGGGGACAATTCGTCACCCACCTAAAAGTAGTTGAATATCAAAACATTTCCATTTTATTTCTGCATCATAAATTTATAATTTTAACAACTTTGATCATTAGCTAATATAGTAATACAAAAAAATGAGGAAAAAGATGTTAGTATTTTTCATTTCCATAAAGTGCAGATTTAATTTTCAATTATTTGCCTTAGTAAACATCATCTTATTTCAGGTCCTCCCCTGCCCTCACTCAAAAAGGGAGGGTGTTTAATTTTTATTTAACAAATATGTAATACCAAGAAAAAAAAGAAAGATCCAATAATGTTTTTTGCAAACATGTTTCCAGGTAAGATTTCCAAGGACATCAGTACTGAGTGAAAGTAATCCCTTACAATCAACATGAATGACACACTAACAAGCACGTAATTGAGGCCTCCATGCTGATTTGGCAATGTTAAGGTCTCCAGTTGTGAAAAAGGTACATAAATGAATACAAACAGTTGGCTTGACATGTGGCCAAATTACTTTCACCAAAGTTGTTGGAAGCCTTTCTCTGGTTTTGGCCCCTATAGGAAGTTAATCTCATATTCCCTTAGCAATAATATAAGGTCACTGTTTCAGTCCTACACACTGTTATATTCAATGGGCTTCTTAGTTTACCACATAAGGACTGGCACCTTTTTCAAAAGAATATTGCTAACAGGGTTAAATGAGTGCCAATGGCTGAACGTTTGCCAAATGCTTACATCTGCGATAGTATAAATATGGATTATTAAAGTTGTCTACTCAAGTATAAAATATATGCAAAACTCTCATAATATAGGCAAAATATTCAAAAGCCGGGAAAAACCTTTTTTGTTTGTTTTTTTAACTTTTACAAGAAAGTGCAACCGCGGGCTCTCTTGAATGATCTTCTAGACAGTTCCGCAGAAAACTTAGCAGTTGGGCTCAGAAAGTAGAGTTCCTCAGGAGGAATTAAAGTTCTTCCTAGAATACAAAGGGACATTTCAGGCAGCTTTCTGAAAGTAAACCATTTGCTTATGACTACACAGTGAGAAACTGGAATGTGTAATAATGAAGGCTTTCGCATTTGTCATAATGTGCTTTTTTTCTCTTACCCCAGGACCTCTAGCTGTTTTGTAATGTTCTATAAAGTAGTAACAGCACTTTGTCCAGCACTGACAGCAGGCAGGAAACTAATCAGCTAGGAGAAAATCAGAAGTATGTTCATGTGTTTCATTGTTTTTCAGGTCAAATCTCAATACCTGCAAATAAATCATTAAAAATATGTAACAGTTTCTCTGTTATTTTCAGGACTTTATGTAGTTAATGGATAATCAGAGTGAAAGAGGGCTTTCTATCAGTCATCAGTGATACATTCTGTCACACAGTCAGATTTTCAGCATTTGTTCGGCTGCTGCTAGATGATAAAGGAAGTTTTCTGTTGCTGGTGGAAATCGTTTTTGCTTTAGTGCCTCCAAATTAAGGACTCTCTTTTCTCCATCAGCCGAAACTTCTGAAAATGGTGCTAGGTTGGTAAAGATTTCTCTTGTTTTTAGAGCAATATCCTTTAATAGAACAGGAAAATAAGCAACATGTTAGTATCCGAAATTTGAATATTTACTCTGTAGAATTCTTCCTGCTATTTTTTTCAGACTGTCTATAAACTATGAAAAATAAGCTCGGCATGGTGGCTCATGCCTGTAATTCCAGCACTTTGGGAGACCGTGGCAGGAGGATGGCATGAGCCAGAAGTTAGAGGCTGCAGTGAGCCATGATTGCACCACTGCACTCCAGCCTGGGCAACCCTGTCTCAAAAATGAACAACAAAAAAGGTAACTCCTTTTTTTGTTGTTTTTGAGACAGGGTCTTGCTCTGTTACTCAGGTTGGAGTGCAGTGGTGCAATCATGGCTCACTGCAGCCTCGACTTCCCAGGCTCAAGTGATCTACCCACCTCAGCCTCCTGAGTAGCTGGGACTACAGGCTTGCGCCACCACACCCAGCTAATTTTTTAATACTTTTTGTAGAGATGGGGTTTCACCATGTTGCCCAGGCTGGTCTCAAACCCCTGGGCTCAAGCGATCTGCCCACCTCAGCCTCCCAAACTGCTGGGATTATAGATCTGAGCCATTGCACCTGGCCTGATAATGCTTTTTAAAGAAAAAAATTAGGAAAAATGAAACAAATTAACTTAGAAAAATCATATTATTATTTGTTTTTTTACCATTTTAGCCATTTTCTGAGTGTATAATTCAGTGGCATTAAGTACATTTGCAACGATGCACAACCATCATCCGTATTTCCAGCACTTTTCACCATCACAAACAGAAACTCTGTACCCATTAAATAACCGCATTTCCCCTCGCTTAGCCCTGGTAACCTCTGCTTTCTAACTCTGTGAATTTGTCTGCTCTAGATAGCTCATATACGTGGAATCATACAACGTTTACCCTTTAGTGTCTGGCTTACTTCATTAGCATGTTTTCAAGGTTCATCCATGTTATAGCATGTATCAGAATTCTATTCCTTTTTTCGCCCCCCAACAAAAACCACATTCAAAACATTCCATTCCTTTTTCAGCTGAGTAATATTCTACTGTATATAAAGACTGCATTTTGTTTGCCCAGTCATCCGCTGAAGGACACTAGGTTGCTTCTGCCACCTTTTAAAGGCTACTGTGAGTAACACTGCTATGGATATTTCCATACAAGTATAGTCATGCACCACATAATGACGTTTTGGTCAACCAGGGACCACATATACAATGGTAGTCTCATAAGATGATAATGCTATATTTTTACTGTATTGTTTTTTTTTCTTTTTCTTTCTTTCTTTCTTTTTTTTTTTTTTTGAGATGGAGTTTCGCTCTTGTTGCCCAGCCTGGAGTGCAATGGCACAATCTCGGCTCACTGCAAGCCCCCGCCTCCCGGGTTCGAGCAATTCTCCTGTCTTGGCTTCCCAAGTAGCTGGGATTACAGGTGCCCACTACCACACCCGGCTAAGTTTTGTATTTTTGGTAGAGACAGGGTTTTGCCATGTTGGCCAGGCTGGTCTCGAACTCCTGACCTCAGGTGATCCACCCACCTCAGCCTCCCAAAGTGCTGGGATTACATGCATGAACCATCAGGCCCGGCCAAGTCCCTGCTTTCAATTATTTTGGGTATATACCCAGCAACAGCATTGCCAAATCATATGGTAACTCGATGTTTAACTTTTTGAGAAATGCTGCTACTGTTTTTTGAAGGAATCTCTTCCCAAAAGTCCTTGTCTGCCTGGGGTAAGTAACCCAGCACCTGCCACGCAGGCTTTATTCCTTTTGGGTGGCTGAGGACTCACTAAAGCGCTCATTAAAATCATGTCTTCTGGCCAGGCATGGTGGCTCATGCCTGTAATCCCAGCACTTTGGGAGGCCGAGGCGGGCGGAGCACTGGCTTCAGTCAGGAGTTCAAGATCAGCCTGGTCAACGTGGTGAAACCCCATCTCTATTAGAAATACAAGATTAGTCAGGTGCGGTGCCAGGCATCTGTAGTCCTGGTGCCTGCTACTTGGGAGGCTGAGGCAGGAGAATCATTTGAACCTGCGCGGTGGAGGCTGCAGTGAGCCAAGATTGCACCACTGCACTCCACCCTGGGTGACAGTGAAACTCAATGAAGAAAAAAAGTAAAAAAATCATGTCTTCCTTCTTGTTTGCTGACATCATTAATTCATGCATATATTTTTGAACCCTCACAGCATTCCCAGCACTTTCACTTGCCCTCCCCAAGGTCACATATATTATACTAAGTCATCTAGGTAGCACTTTTAGTCTGTGAACAACACAGTAATGCAAAACTCAAGTTCACATATGTTGCCGATATTGTAAGAGTATGTCTTTACTCTAATGCTGGGGGTTAGGTGGGCAGTGAGGATTCACATGGTAGGAAGGCAGCAGCCCCAGAGTCTCCAGTGTTCAGGTCCTCAGGGCAAGATCAGCCCACTCTTCCTGCTCACAGCTGGCCAGGCCATCAGCACTGCAGAGAAATGGCCCCTCTCATCTTTCTGCTGACATGTCACCTCCTTAGAGAGCTGGCCTACCCCTCCCCCAGTATTCTCCACCTCAACCCCTTCTGTCACAGCACCTATCATGGGTTGTAATTATCTTGTCATTCATTATTTTCTGTGCATCTACTCCACTGAAGTACAGGCTCCGTGAGGGCAGGGATTTGCTCACCACTGCATCCCCACTGCCAGTGCAATGCCTGACAGAGCTCAAGAAACACTGAGTAAATGAATGGATAAATGGAGAAGGCGCCAGGTTGGGCCGAATGAGTATAGCCTGCATATCAGAGGTGCCCCTGTGCCCCCAGGGAGGACAGGTGCAGACAGAGACAGTCCTTTTGGGCCCACCAGCCCCAGGTTATGAGTCAGGCATCTAGATGAGGCAACGCTGGAAGTTTATCCTTCAGGAGAGGAGCAAGGAGCTGGGAACAGGCCAAATGCAAGGAGCTGGGCAGGCTGCAGGCCACTATGTAGAAAGGACAAGAAATAAAACCCATTTGCCATTCCAGTTTGGCAAGGGCAGAGCAGGTGCCCTCTGGTCCACATGGACTCTGGTCCACGTGCCAGGTAGACCCCAGCAAGGAGCTGGCTCTGTGGCATGTGGCAACAGTCACTAAGTGGGACAGGAGTCTGACTGCATTTCTGTTGTCCTGGAGACATGCAAAGCCAAATTTTGACAATCTATCTAGTTCCCCATGTTCAGCAACAACCTCCCCTTTATAATTTGTTCCTCCAGGGAAATTCTCCTAGGAAGAGAGAACGCACTGGCTGGCCCAGAAAAGCCTTCCAGACCACTCGGGAGTTACATTTCTGTTTGCCAACGGTCGGTGTCAGCACCAGCCCCAGTGTATACCTGCCCTCGAGCCCGGTAACTAACTAGATCAGGCCAGCCTGCACCTGCTTGTCCATCATCGCTGTGGCCGTCTGCAAACCCTCCTTTAAGCACCTGCCCGCTGGCCTCTCCCACAGCCCCCCACTCTGCTGATGTGCACGCCTCTGCCGCACACCACCCAGCGGCACCGGGTCAGGACTTCCAGTAAGTCAGAAGGTGAGGGAGTTACCTGTATCACCTGGCTGTCTGATTTCTCTGGATCTTCTGCAGACTGAACAATTAGCTGACCCATTTCTTTGTGCAGTTTGCCCATTGCCATGGCCTCTGGTGAGATCAAGAAGGTGAATATTTAGAAATTGACATAATAAAAACTAATCATGCCATCTATCTGAAAACTTGAAAGACCACACTGAGGAAATTTTCAAACAGCAGCTGACAACCTCCCACATGTCCATTTTATCACTAGCCACAAATATGACAACATGCTGGGAGGAAAGGCATAATATAATCGTGATTTATACTTCTTGGCCAACATAAAAACACATCACACCAAACCAGATTTCCCCTTCACACCCACCTGACCAGAACTTTTATTTTTCTTCCCAAAGCATAATGAACAATTCTGACTACAACTAAATTGTGACTATAAGCCAAGAGCCTGACCTTGTAGTCCAGCTCTTTTCAGTTAAGAAATGTATCTTTTTGGTGGGAATATTGTGAAAGAGGAGTTTCCTGTCAGTTCTGCAGAAGACAGCTGGGCACTCAATTCGTTGAGGTTCTTAGACATGAGCAAAGGAAGCCACCTAAGTTAGCTTGGTTACAAACACTGCTACTGTCTGCACTGAGGAGGTTAACAGAAACTTGTTTGTCACTTCAAGAGACAAACTCCATTCGAACGGTGCTGATTAGGATGGGCCCATTTTATAGACACAGAGCAACCCAGGGCAGCAGGGAGATGGCCACTCTTTCTGGTCCTAACGCTTCAGCTGCTTCAGTGGCCCGGGCCACAGCCAGTTTTCTTTCACTTTCGCTTTTCAAAAGGCAGTTATTTCCTAAAGATCTGAACCCACAGTTTGAATTTTTCACCATGAGTGTGCATTATGTTTGCAATTTTACAATGAATTAAAGGAAAGTCAGTTATGGTTCTATTAATTTGAAGTTGTTCAATAAAACCTCACATAATTGAATCTAACAATTCCCAATTCAATTCCCAATCAGTCAGCATTCAGCTGTCCCCACTTTTAGGAGAA